TAGTTTTTAATTTTTTAATTTTATCTTAAATTGAACTTTATATGTTTTAAAATACGCTTCGTTAAATTATGAGAAATCGTAATTATCACGAAAAATTATCAGTAAAAGAATTAATTGATAGTTTTTATCCTAACCTAAGCTTTGTTAAATTATGATAAATTGTAATTATCACGAAAAATTATCAGTAAAAGAATTAATTGATAGTTTTTAATTTTTTGTTTTTCTTTTGTTTAATTGAAATAATTTCTGCGATTATTATCTTATCTTTTCTTTGATATTATCCAAACAAATTATCATCCTTTTATCATTCGAAAAATTTTTGAATAAAGTTTTATGAGTGGTAAATTTAATTATGCTTAATTAAAATCATTTCTATTTCTTAAATATTATAATTATAATAGTGTATGCTAAAAATTATCACAATTAATTATCACAATATATTACAATAAGATGTATCCCTTTTATTGGGATCATTCTTCTTTTTCTTCTCAATTTATCTAATCGGATCTCATCATATCATAATGAATATTCAAGGTCAAAGAATGATGGATAGATGGATATCGGCTAATCCATTTTATCGGGAATATCGAGAGCTAATCTCCTAAATGAATATTGAATTATTCTTAAGTGTGAATATATTCTATTTTCGTTTTACCATACCAATCTTATCCTCACCATTATCAATTATCATTCTTCATCATCGTTGTATTTTCTCATATCTTTAAGCAATATTTACATTTCAGTAAATTATTTTCTCTCTTACACACTCTCTCTCTCCCTTTATTTCTTTCTTACTTTTTATTAATTTGCAAATTTTTTCATATCCTATTTATGCTTCAAAATTTATTCATATTAATTTCTTTTTTCAATTCTCATTTATAATTAATAAATTACCTTTTATTTATTAATTTTATTTCATTTTTGTTTCTTTCTTTTTCCCTCCTTCTTTCTTTCTCCCTCATTTTCTCCCTCTCCTTCTTTTTCTTAACTATGCTTCTTTTTTCCTCTTTGAAAATATGTGAATAAATTATTCTTTTAGTTATAATAATGCTAGAAACAGAAAAGGAAAAAGAATTGAAACGTAGATCCGTAAAGCATTCATGATGCTTTTTTCATGAATGCATGGATCTGAATAGCATTCATGCAAGATCTAAATAGCATTCATGTAAGATCTAAATAGCATTCATGAAGATCCGAATAGCATTCATGCAAGATCCGAATAGCATTCATGCAAAATCTAAATATCATTCATGCAAGATCTAAATAGCATTCATGCAAGATCTAAATAGCATTCATGCAAGATCTAAATAGCATTCATGCAAGATCCGAATAGCATTCGTGCAAAATCTAAATAACATTCATGCAAGATCCGAATAGCATTCATGCAAGATCCGAATAGCATTCATGCAAGATCTAAAAAGCATTTTTCTGTTCATCATTTGCAATAAATGTGGAAAAAAATCCCTAATGACATAGCCATTACCACCTCTTTTTATTTCTCCTATAATATTGTTTAGTCCCCCGAGATTTCTCAATTATTCATTCTTAATTCTTCTTCCCGAGATTTCTTAATTGTTCAACCTTAAATTCTTTTCTTCGAGATTTTCCAATTATTCAATTTTAATTCTTCTCTTCGAGATTTCTCAATTCTTCAATCTTAATTCTTCTCTTTGAGATTTCTCAATTGTTCAAGCTTAATTCTTCTTCCCGAGATTTCTCAATTATTTAACCTTAACTGTTCTCGTCGAGATTTTCCAATTATTCAATCTTAATTCTTCTCTTTGAGATTTCTCAATTGTTCATTTTTGATGCATCTCTTTTCGTTGAAATTTGGAAACATATTATTTTCTTTTGTTTTATAAAATGAAATGTTTTTGTTCAGCCGAATGAACTGAAATAGTATTGGTTGAAAAAGGATGAAAGAAGTTTTAAAAAAAGAATGCTTTTTAGTAGAACTATTGAAATGTAATCATACTTACATACATATTTTCAACATTATTCTCTCTCTCTCTCTTTCTCTCTGTCTCTTATTTAGCATTCATTCCCTGAAGGCTTAAAAATTCATTGAAATAAAGCTGCTCCTAAATGCTATAATAAAATGTGCAATGCAATAATGCCACCTAAGGGATTGTTTATTTCTGAAACAATATTCTGGTTTTTGTTTCAAAAAGAAAACAAAATTGCTATTTCAAAATAAACAAAACGATGAAATATGGGAAAGAATAATTTTTATCTTGCAAATATAACAATCATTATAAAATGATGATATTTATTGATCGTAAAAAAGTGAAATGAGAAATACGAAAATAATCACTATCATTAGAATCTTATCACTATTATTATTATTATTATTATTATTATTATTATTAATTATTATTATTATCGTTATTGTTATTAATTATTATATGTTATTTGTTATTTATTTTTGTCATTTATCATTTATTATATATTATTATTTATTACTTATTATTGTTAATAATTATCATTATTGCTAATTATTATTACTATTTATTATTATTATTTTTCATTGTTGTTATTATTTATGATTATTAACTATTATTATTATTCATCATTATTGTTATTATTAATCTCTATTATTCTTAATCACTATTATTAATAGTCATTGTTATTGCTAATTAACTGTTATTAATTGTTATCAATTATTATTATTGAATTATTATCATTATAAATCATTATTATTGCTATTATTATTAATTTTTACTATTGCTAATTATTAAAGTTAGCTATCAGTATTATTTTAAAGGTAGTTATTTTTCAGCTAGTAATTGCAAGACTCGCTTTCAAAATATTTCTTCAATTTTTCGCCAGGCTGCTGAAATTTTGAAACAATTGAGCGGAATTTATCATAGTTTGCGGGAAGATACCAAATTTTCTTCAGTTAATAGTAGTTCTTTCAAGGAATGAATGAAAATTTGAATCACAAGTTCATGTAATATTTTTGATATATTACTGTTTCTTTTTTCACCTGAAGTAATTTTAAAATACGAAATCTTCCGGAACAATGGATTTTCATCTTTATTTCTCTGATAGCACGAAAAAAAGTGCAGAATGATGAAAAGCTTTTCTATTCCTAAAAATATCTGAAAATAATTTAATTTCTAAAATTCGTTTAATGAGATTTTAATTTCGGGTACTCAGTAAAAATTCTGAAGTACGAAATCTTCCGGAAGAAAGGATTTTCATCTTTTTTTTTTTAACTCTAAATTTTCAAATAGCACGAAAAAGTACAGAGAGATGGAAAGAATGGATTTTCATTTCTTACTTTTGAAATTTTCAAATAGCACGAAAAAGTACAGAGAGATGGAAAGAATGGATTTTCATTTCTTACTTTTGAAATTTTCAAATAGCACGAAAAAGTACAGAGAGATGAAAAGCTTTTCTATTCCTTAAATTATCTGAAAATAAGTACAAAAATGGAAAGCTTTTCTATTCCTAAAAATATCCGAAAGTAATTTCTAAAATTCGTTTAATGAAGTTTTAATTTCGGGTACTCAGTTAAAGTTTTAAAGTACGAAAAATCTTCCGGAAGAATGGATTATCAGCTTTATTTTACTTTAAATTTCCAAATAGCACGAAAAAAGTACCGAGAGATGAAAAGCTTTTCTATTCCTAAAAAAATATCTGAAAATAATTTAATTTCTAAAATTCACTTTTAATGAAGTTTAAATTTCGGGTACTCAATAAAATGGATTTTTCAATGCTACAATTAATTTGATGAAGAAAAAAGGAAATGACTATTTTCTGAATTAGAAATAGCATATTTGATACATATTAAAAGATAGAGAGAAAAGGAGAATTCGAATTATAAATGGTACTTGAAAATTTTATAAATTCCTAAACAACAATGAAAGAACTTTAAAATGTAAACAATTTATACTTTATTGTTTCACAAAATTTTTTAATGGAAAAACAAGGTAATGTAAATAATTGAAATTTAAATTTTCATTCATTGTTTTATTTATAAATTTAGACAATGTTTTGTTTATGAATTTAGACAATAACAACTGTTTACAACTATTGTTGTATTTACAACTATTATTGTAAACAGTTGTTATTGTTGTTATTGTTAATGTTATATTATTATTACTATTATTATTGTTATTACTATTATTATCGTTATTATTATTACTGCTATTATTATTGTTGTTTTTTTATTGTTATCATTATTTCTTTACTAATAATTATTACGTAGATGTATTTTAATGATAATTAGTAATTAAAAGTTTTGAAAGAGTAAATATATTATTTAGTAAATAAGTGAAAAAGATTTTTGAAACATAATAAATGGAAAAATAGAAAAACAAAAAGGAATGATATAATTATTTCAATTTTTATTTTATGCAAATTTTCATCCTTCTTTTTTTGCAATATAATAAGAATCTAATGAATTGGAAAGCATTAATATTAAAACAAATAAATTAGCTTTGTGAAAATTTCAAAAATAAATATTGTTTGATTTGAAAAAAGTTTGAGTAAATATTTTTTAATAGTTTTAAATATTAATTTTTTATTATATTGAAACTTTTAAATGTTTATTTGTAATTAATCATGTCTTTAAACTAATTCATATAATTATCACTTTCTTTATAGTAACTTTTGAAAATGATAGTTTACTGAAATCGAATATATGAATGTACAATTTAGGATGATATAATTGTTGATATTCGTAAGTAAGATCTATTTGTGATATTGATTAGATAAGTGATTAGATGATAATTAGAAAAAAAAACGATATATTTGTTGATATTCGTAAGATCTATTTGTGATATTGATTAGATAAGTGATTAGATGATAATTTAAAAAAACAATATATTTGTTGATATTCGTAAGTAAGATCTGTGATATTTATTAGATAAGTGATTAGATGATAATTAAAAAAAAAGCAAAGCGTTCTTTCCAGCGTGTATATTGTGTAAAGTTATGAAATTTGAAACAAAAGAATTTTTATATTTTTACATTTTATTATAGCATTATTGAATATGTCAGAAGACGATGATAAACATAGCAAAGTTATCACAAATACGATCAGTGATAATAACAATGATGCTACTGATCAATTTATCGATATGCAACTTGGAAGTAAGCTTTTTTTCTCTTTCCCTCTCTCTTTCTCCTTCTTTCTTTCTCTCTTTAACTCTATCTTGAATATTTTATCAAAATATTTTAATGATAATTTTTAATGCAAACAATTATTATATGAAAAGGATAAAATAAAAGTAAGAAAGAAATTTTATAAAATGAAATTTAACTTTTTTTCTGAATTTTAAATTGCAGGTATTAATTCGAGAGTTAAAAACTTATTGTTTGTTTTACGTTTTTAATTACTAAAGTAATTAAATTTCACTTTTAATTACTAAAGTAATTAAGTTTTTAATTATTAAAGTATTATATGAATTGCTGCATAGCATAAATGATTACATTATGTAATAATTTATATTATATTTTAGTAATTTAAACTTTATTAATTAGTAATTTATTAAATGATATTGTTTTATAAATATTTATGCAAAAGTAAGATATTTGTAAGCAAAGAGAAAAAATTTTTTTTTAACTAATAATTTTCTAAGTAAAAAGTAAACAAAAAAAGGTGACAGTTTCTTTGTATTACCTTAGCTAGGTAATAGTTTCTTTGTAGGTAATAATTCTTGATAATACCTTCTAGGTAATAGTTTCTTTGTAATACCTTTTAAGTAATAGTTTCCTTGTAATACCTTAGCTTAGAAAGCTATGTTAGAAATATTTCTCTTATCTTCAAATTTTAAAGTTTTCAAAAATTTAAATTTACAATGATAATTTGTAATTTTATTCCTAATTAATAATTTTATAAGAAAAAAAAAGCGAGAGAAAGAAAGTTTGCAAATTTTGATGTTTGTTTTGCAATTTACTCATTCCAATATATATTTCTAACTTTATACGGTAATTTCAGATTATTGATAAGCTGGATAATTTGTCCTAAATTTGAATATTTAATTTGCATATTCATTTTGCAAGTTGCAAGAAAAAGATTTGAATACTTAATTTGCATACTCATTTTGCAAGTTGCAAAAAGAAATTTGAATATTTAATTTACATATTTAATTTGCAAGAAAAAAAAATGAATATTTAATTTGCATACTTAATTTGCAAGAAAGAAATTCGAATATTTAATTTGCATATTCATTTTGCAAGTTGCAAAAAGAAATTTGAATATTTAATTTGCATACTTAATTTGCAAGAAAGAAATTCGAATATTTAATTTGCATCTTTAATTTGCAAGAAAAAGATTTGAATATTTAATTTGCATATTCATTTTGCAAGTTGCAAAAAAAAATTTGAATATTTAATTTGCATATTTAATTTGCAAGAAGGAAATTTGAATATTTAATTTGTAAGAAAAAAATTTGAACATTTCATTTTTAAATTTGAATATTTAATTTGCAAAAAAAAAAAATTAACCAAAAATTATTTTTTCGAATGTGGAGAAATTCGTTGTGGTGCAAATATCGCATACGTTACGGTTGGTATAATTTTCCGTGAACGTAATGATGGTAATTTGGAATTACTCCTAACGCAAGAAGCAAAACGACAATGTTTGGGAAAGTTCGTAGTATAATTTTGCAAAATATATAATTTTATATAATTATCTCATAAAGATTGTTTTTTGTTTTTCTTTTTAGGTTTTTCTCTTTTTTAAAAATTTGAAATTAAAAAATGAAAATTTTTGAATGAATTATTTTATGTGTTAATTTCAATTGTTGATAAGTTTAGATCATTTTAAAAGTTAAAAATTAAATGTTGAAAAAAAGTGATTAATTATTCATAATCCATTTAAATGATTCTCAAGTATATTTGTAGCATTGAATTTAGGATATAGGTAACAATAGATTTAGCTATATATTCTCAAGTATATAGGTAACAATAGGTTTAACTATATATTCTCAAGTATATAGGTAACAATAGGTTTAGCTATATATTCTCAAGTATATTCCGTAGCATCGAATTTAGGATATAAGTAACAATGGGTTTAGCTATATATTCTCAAGTATATTCCGTAGCATCGAATTTAGGATATAAGTAACAATGGGTTTAGCTATATATTCTCAAGTATATTCCGTAGCATTGAATTTAGGATATAGGTAACAATGGGTTTAGCTATATATTCTCAAGTATATTCCGTAGCATCGAATTTAGGATAGAGGTAACAATGTGTTTAGCTATATATTCTCAAGTATATTCCGTAGCATCGAATTTAGGATATAGGTAACAATAGGTTTAGCTATATATTCGCAAGTATATTCCGTAACATTGAATTTAGGATATAGGTAACAATGAATTTAGCTATATTTGAATTACAATTTTGCAAGAATAATTTTATCAAGAGTAATAATGCGGGAAAATATGATGGATAATTTCAATGATATTTGAGAACTTTTGTATTTAAACAATATTTTACATAATTAATATGTTTATTTATCTTTTAAAAATTTTGTTTCAAATTTTAAAATATTTTAAATTGCTTTTTTCAAAAAAAAAAAAAAAACGGAAGACGAATAAGATTTCAGACATAATTATCTTTTAGAAATTATTTCATAGTTCAATATTTCAATCAATTATTATCAATAATTATTAACCAATTTAAAATTTTTTAATTTTAGATGGTATATTCCGGCTGGACGCGTTGAACCGGGTGAAACAATATTGGTCATTATTTAATTATTTTCATCATTATTTTTAAAATATCAAATTAATTGATTGATTTATAAATAAGATTTATCTTAAATGATTTATTTTTATTTCTGTATCTTTTAAAGTAATATTTATGAGTTTTTTAATGAAATTAAAATTTCAAAATATTTTCAGTAATTAATTTAAAGTAATAATGAATAAAATTTGGGCATATTTTTCTTTCAAATGCATTCTTTTTTCTGATAGCTGAATTTTCCAAAATGATTTTAATTAATTAATAATAATTTCTTTTGTTTTAAAATTATGTTCCAAACTAGGCAATGTTTTTTTAATGATATTATGAAATTAAAATTTCAAAATATTTTCAGTGATTAGTTTAAAATAATAATGAATAAAATTTAGTCATATTTATCTTTTAAATGCATTCATTTTTCTGATAACTGAATTTTCTAAAATGATTTTAAATAATTTTAATTAATTAATTATTGATAATTTCTTTTGTTTTAAAATTATGTTCAAAATTACGCAATGTTAATGCAATTAAGATATTGCAATTAATTAGTAATAATAATGCATTCTTTTTTTTTTTTGATAACTAAATTTTCTAAAATGATTTTAATTAATTAAAAGTTTTGTTTTAAAATTACATCCAAAATTACGCAATGTTAATGCAATTAAGATATTACAATTAATTACCGAAATAATAATTTTTTTTCCTGATTTCTACTAATAGTAATTTTTACATATGCGTTGAGTGAAAAGATTTCATCAATGAACAATGAACAATTTGTATTAATTATTTTAGGAAGGTGTTGTTCGAGAGGTATTAGAGGAAACCGGTTATAAATGTGAGCCGGAAGAATTATTAAGTGTACAAGTGCAGGGTTCAGGATGGTATCGATTTTCATTTTATTGCAATATTATCGGTTAGTTATTCAAAATAAATTATAATTATTCTTTTCTTTAATTTTGAAAATGAATTTTTAATGGAAAATGAAAATCAAACTTTGTTTTAAAGTTCATATAGTTATGCTGATAATTTTATCATTTAAATAGTATTCTTATCAAATTGTTAAATTGAGAGAAACGTTTTTTTTGGAATGATTATTGGAAATTTTTGAATTTGATAAATTTAGTTTCTTTTTTCTTCCGAAATTTTTTGAACATCTATTTTTATAAAAATTATTAATTAATTAATTAAAATGAATTAAAATTAAGTATTCCTTTATCATTTGATATTTAGGTGGCGAGCGTAAAGTAATCGCTGATATTGAATCATTGGGCGCTAATTGGTTTCCAGTGGATGAAATTAAGTCGAAAAAGATAGATTTAAGGTAATATTATTAAGTTCTGTTATTCAATAAGATATCATTGATTATATTATATATATATAATAAATGAAATATAATATGAAAAAATAAAATTAAATAATCGGAATATATGAAATACTATATACTCATTTATATGGCAGATTCTTTTCAATAAGGTATCAATGATTATTTCATATATATATATAGCTATCAGTGTCAGCAGATTTGTCAACATGGTATTTTTTTAAAGAGCATACATTTTCTTTCCAAATTTGTATTTTTAAAATATTTCAAGTATTGAATAGATCATAATGTTATATGGTCGATAAT